ACTTTTTTATTATTAATTTTAAGAAAAAAGTTATTCCAAAATCTAAAATACAATTAACAGATTTAAAAAAATTTCAGTCGAATACGCTGTTTGTCAAAAAATATAAATCTTACTCTAGAGTAAAGTACCTTTATATTTGACAATATCGAAATTTTTTATTATAAAAAGTTGATCAGAACTAAAAACTACTACTTTTCTTTTTTGTTTACAATAGCATTGCAAATGTAACTATACTTACATGTAATCTAGGATGCACTGACAAATATATGATTTGTTGATTTGTGAATGTCAAAACATCAGAATTTGCTTAGGTATTCCTTTCTAAACGGAACGGTTATCATGATAACTTATCATGTTTGTAATAAAAAAGATAAATGTTCGGTATCGGTAGTTTAGGAACAATTTGTAAAAAAAAAATTTAAGTAAAAGGATGTAATTGCATATTAAAATATAGTTTTTCATTCTGAACAAGTTTTCATAATTACAGTTTTCTATATTGTCACAAATAAGTCTTGTACCAAACTCATATTTTTTTTCAAACCTCGTATATGAAATTTGATATAGCTGTCGAGGCGAATGTTTCAAATTGCGTCATCAAATTCTGAACCAAGCACAGACATTACAATTATTGTTGTTTTCTTTTACGTATATAATCCAAGGAACCGCTAGGTTAACCTTATGTCGAGAAATCGTTTTTTGACATTCGACATTGATTGAAACATTCGCCGCGACGACTATATGTGATAATTTTATTTTAGGTTTTAGAACATGCAGAACTTTTTATAAAAAATAACTTTTCTTCGTAAAACTAATAATAAGAAAGTTTCACAAATGTTGCAAACTTAAGTAGACACACTGTAGATATTATTTTATTAAGAATAACTTTTCTTCGTAAAATTAATAATAAGAAAGTTTCCCATATGTTTCCAACTTAAGTAGACACACTGTAGATTACAAAATATTTGACAAAAGTTACTAAACCTCAATTATAGTCTTCCATTATATTTTCTAGTATTTAAGTGTACTTGTTAACGGTGTTTAAGTCCATAACGTCCTATAGGAATTGAAAACGTTATGCATATCCTTCTTAGAACGCTCCAATGTCTTTTTAAATTTATCTAAATATTAAAGATATCCTGCAACCCATGGCCTTGTAATATTTTGGATAAAGGATAAAATCACAAACAAAATTAAAAACTATTCAATAACTGCTATGAATAAATAAAGGTATACATGACAATTTTATAATTAACAAATGTTGTGGACACTTTTTTAAACCGATGAAACGTTTAGTGGGTAATTTTTACAGGTTTTTATATACAAGAATTATTTACTATTTCTATGAAAACTAAAAAAATTGTATTAGTACCACCACTACAAAAGCAAAAGAGGATAGGGATATTTTGGTGCATGATGAATAGAAAACTAATAAAATTTTCATTTTGTGAAGTGTAATCGATGATATGTAATAAAACTAGTGTTGTAAAAAAAACGTTTTTTTTTAGTTGAAAAAAAAACACGTGAAAAAAAACATGTTTTTTTTTCACTGAAAAAAACAAAAGTTGTTTTTTTTCATCCCCACCCACGTATGGTAAAAGGGCGCCTCGCTGTTGGCAATGCTGACTCAGCATATCGTATAGTCTATACAGTATTATAATAGAAGAGTTAAGACCTGCGGCTTTATAGTAGGTTGATGCATAGTTGGTAGAAATGCCGAAAAGAGAAGGCTCAGGGCGAAAGCCAACAACTTTAAACAATTTGTTTAAGAATATTACTAATGGTAAGTAAGAAACTATAATTAGTATTAATTGAATAATGAATTGTTAGCAACAGTAATGTGGAATTCGCCAAATGTATGTTTAATCGTGATACGTGCCTAATGGTTGTTGAGTCTAGAAGTACAAAGAGGAGCAGTGACGGAATTGGGGAACGAGGTCGAGAAAACGGGAAATTCTTGGTTGAGATACAGAACGCTACGCACATTTAATTTTGTTTGTTTGCCTGATAAAATTGTGGTTTAAAAGGGTTTAGTTTTAATTAATCTAACATCAGAAGTAGGATAATTACAGTGACTGTGACAGTGTTTGTGCAAACAATAAAAGGTGTTGCAAAAATGTCGGATTCCGATGGTACTTCGGGTGAGTCCAGAAATCTTTATCGGGGATGGGCGTGACGTCATTGACCGAAATGAAAATTACTTTAACCGATAGTAAACCAATTGCGTCGCGTCCGAGGCAATTTTCAGATCAGGAACGAATTGTTATACGGGGGATGGTCGACGAATTGTTGGGAAATGGTATTGTGCGTGAATCTAATTCTCCATACGCTAGTAGAGTTTTGTCGGTTACAAAGAAAAACGGAAATAGGGAGATTTTTAAAGACTATTGTTTAAAAGGTGGCAAGATTTATCGGTTGACAACTCAGGGTTTTAGATGGGTTGTACCAAAATTTGCCAGGTTCCAAGTACTTAGAATGGCTCATGATGAGTCAGGACATTTTGCATTTGAAAAAACATACGAATTGTTAGCGAGTCAATATTGGTTTAAAGGTATGCGCCATTTTATTAAGAAATATGTTAAAAACTGCCTCAATTGTTTATATTTTAAAAACCCTCAAGGGAAATCACCTGGATTTTTACATCCAATACCAAAAATCCCAGTACCATTTCATACGGTTCATGTTGACCACCTCGGACCTTTTGTAAAAACAAAATCTGGTAACACTCAATTATTAGTAATAATAGATGCTTTTACAAAATTCATTATATTATATGCGGTAAAAAGTACAAAATCACGATTTACAATTCGCTGTTTTGAGGATATGATAAAAGTTTTTGGAGTTCCTAGGCGTATAATAAGTGAATGGGGAAAGTCATTTACTGGTAAAAAATTTGAAAATTTTTGCAATACCAAGGGAATCAAACATTATTTAAACGCAGTCGCAGTACCACGTGCGAATGGCCAAGTCGAACGTTATAACCGTACAATTTTAGACTCATTGACTACCATGGGCGCAAACGGCGATGATGATACTTGGGATAAAAATATTGCCAATATACAGTTAGGTCTAAATGGTACAATTAATAAGGCTCTTGGGGTGGCGCCCAGTGAGGCTTTAATGGGTTTTAGAGTATTTTTACAGGGACACATGGAAGTAGAGCGGCAAGTGGTTGACGTCACCGCTGTACGTGCCAGCATCGTACAGAAGCAGGATAAATATCAGGCGGAGCAGAAACGACGTTTTGACAGGACTAGGACTGCAGCTCATCCTTATGCGGAAGGCGACCTTGTTTTACTACGGATGACTGGAACTGCAGCATCAGGGAGCAGCCAAAAATTGTTGCCAAAATGGAGAGGTCCCTTTCGAATCACCAAGGTGCTGATCGCTACAAGGTGTCCGACATCCCAGGCAGCACTCGTTCGCGGCTAAAGTATACAGGAGTTGCGGCGGTTGACAATATCCGGCCTTGGATGGTATTTGATGAGGAAGGTGGTAACTGACAGTAGTGGATCATAACTACTGGGTATGACTAGCGGTGGACCATAACTGCTGAGTCATGTCAGGTGTACTTTCCCGATTTCGAGGTAAATTCAGTGAGGGTACGTGGACCATAGAACGTATCCGGGGCTTTTACTGAGAGGTCGTGGTTTGTATATCCTGGGGTCACTGGTACATACGTATGGGGTGATCATTAGCTTTAAGATTTATATATTACCTTTATATCTATTATTCTCGTTATTGTATTACATTTTATTCGTACTGTTTAAAATTATACTCGGCCGAGTGTGTTTTACCTTTTCTTAGGTAGGTGGCTATTGGCCGGAGTTGGCGTCATGAAGGCTGAATGATTATTAGTTGTAGTTGTTCTTAAAATTAAATTGGAGTCCTTACTAGTTAATAAAAATTATTTTCTTATAGAGTTCTGGATTTCGTTCAAAGAGTTAACCGTCACAGGTGATTCTAGACTGGTTTGGGCACTCAGGGTCGAGTGAAGACACTCTAATTGTCAGGATTGGCCGAATGTTAGCAACAGTAATGTGGAATTCGCCAAATGTATGTTTAATCGTGATACGTGCCTAATGGTTGTTGAGTCTAGAAGTACAAAGAGGAGCAGTGACGGAATTGGGGAACGAGGTCGAGAAAACGGGACATTCTTGGTTGAGATACAGAACGCTACGCACATTTAATTTTGTAAGCCTGATTTGGCATTTTAAATTTGTAATAAAATTGTGGTTTAAAAGGGTTTAGTTTTAATTAATCTAACAGAATGTGCCAAAAATTCTTTCCTCAGCAGTGACATTTCGAAAATCCTGTCACTTAATATAATTTGAGTATTTTTGACCATTTTTTTGAAAAAAAAAACATTTTTTTTGAAAAAAAAACAAGGTCCTCTGTTTTTTTTTCTAAAAAAAAACATTTTTTTTTGAAAAAAACAAGACTGTTTTTTTCAGTGACAACACTAAATAAAACTGAAGCAGAACATTTCACTCGTCCTGCGGACTCGTGAAATCTGCATCTTTTATATGAGTTAAAATATACTTTTCTATACGCACTTGAAAGCATTTAAAATAACAAATTTTAAGCTTAAATATATGTATATGTATATACGTATACGTGGAATGCTAATAGTGAATAAAATTGTTCTTAAAACTTAATTATGTTAAAGTTATATTGGTTATTTAATCTTTTTGCTTCCAAAGGTATGTTTTTGAATATTAATAAAAGTACCTACTACAAATAATTTAAAATACAAAAAAACTCTTAAATAAAAACTGTCATAAATTTAAATTAAAAAGAATGCAGATTTACTTAATTAAGTCAACATCTTTTTATATGCAGATCATGAACAAGTAAAATTGGAAAGATTAAAACTTTCCAACTATTTAATATTTAAATTTATCTTATAAATGCAAATATTTATAGGTGGAGTCAGAATCCACAAGAACAGGCAGGTACCTACCTAAAAGTAACTCATAATTTTATTAGTTTTATAAGTTTCGCCCCGCTGCGCCGTTCATTGCATGTACCTACTTGGTCTATTTTATAAAAAATAAAGTCAATATGAAGGAGTTTAAAATTATCTTTTTTATGTGTGGCCTATTATTCGTTAAGGTAAGACTATTAATTATTAATAAAAAGCGAAAAACAGTTTTATAAATTATATATAAAAAATAACCTTGAGAAAATAAAATAATAATTTAATTTTCTACACAAAATTTATTTTAACCCCAATAAATAAAAATTAGGCAATCTTTATAACTACAATTATAATCAAACAAGACAAATTACATACATACTTCAAAATTGTATTAAAACTGCTTATCTGTTGTGCGCATGCTCAAGGTCATTTTTACCCAATGTATATAAATATATTCATATGTACTTAATAACAAACAAATCTTTTAACCTTAAAGGTGTTCCGTAGAAATTTGTAATTTATTAATAATAATTATAATTTATAATAAGCAGCACTATTTCATGTAAGTACAGAATTTTAAAACATTATTAATTTAAGTACACATATACAGGGTGGTCCAAGTTAAAAATTATAAAATCAATAATTGAAATAATATTAATTTTGCAATAAACTTATATCGAACTCGAAGGTTGCATTTATTTTTCTGAAAAAAAAAACCTAATTTCTCCTCAACTAAAGAACATATTTTTTCGGGTTGGTAATATCTCTTTTTATACAAAAAACATGTATCGTTTCACAGTAAACTTGCAATTTCATTTCACTGTTATTCCATTTCACTTTTATTCAATTTCACCATATGCCGTCTAGTTTTTTTTTACCGAAGTTGGTATACCATACAACTATACTTAACATTTCGAGCAACTTCTCCATTGATTTAAATTTAGGTTTCTGTTAAATAATGTTTTGTTGTTTTATTTTTAATTGTGAGTTTCTGTTGTAAAATATTTTTTTCCAATTATATTAAAGATTTTTTTATACTTGTGTTTTATCATTGATGCGCAGAATGCTAATCAACTTAATATACAATGTCACTACTGTCAATGTCAGTGTACCATTTAAAATCATACCATTTCTAATAAAACATCACGGGTTACTTTCACAACAGCAATAGTTAGATTTGTGAAATCAATAAGTAACTAGTGTCAAGAACTGTAGTAAGCACGGTCTTATATACAGGTCTTGCAACTTTAAGCTTCGAGGTGGCTTCCTTAACGTGCCAAGCCGCTAGGTGGCGCTAAGATCGAAGGGGTAAAGTCAATTAAACTACTACTACTAGTTAAATGTGGAACTACTGCATAACCATAACCTAACTTTTTAAATTCTTTTTCTATGTTTTCTTTACATTTTCAAAAATTTAATATTTGTGAGTTTGTTTCGGATAATTTACGTTAACAAAATAGGACAACAAAGTCTATACTCTATGCACAAAGTCCTCGGCCGTCACATGCCCAGACCAAACATGTTAATGTATAAAATACATACGTATATCATATATATGTTACGGCTAATGTGTAAACATGGATAGTTTATTAAGTAGCTGGGTAGTTTATAAACTAGCCAAACTGTCAGCTATTTTAATTGAAAACGTATTTTTAACTAAATTAGCGGCTAGTTTGTTACAAACTGTTTGTAGACCAACCAAGGGTCTTGGCTAATTTACTTGAAATTATTTAGGAATAGCTGGATAATTTGTTAACTATCCAATTCAATTTGGCTAATATGAAAACCAAAATTTCTAGTAACACAACAAACTAACCAACCAATATTCTGGCTAATTTATTAATAACCGATTTTTTTATTGTCTTGGCGGGGATGGGTTGATTGTTTATTTAAAATAATATATATTTCACCAACACGATTTGCTTAATTATATAATAATCATACAAAATGTGAAGGTGTCAATAATATGTTTTTTATTGCACATTGCCATGTTTTTAACCGCTTCTTATTTGTTAGCACTTTAAACATGGACCGCTTAATTTTAATGCCGTAACGATAGCTTTGCTGGTTACATTTTGGCACAACACAGGACTTCATGTCTATTAAAAAGCACAAATACAAATGTATAACAAGAACAAATATAACAAGAACAAATATAACAAGAAAAAATAGAACAATATAATATAACAATAACGAATATTACAATAACAATAAGTAAAAACTCCCTGTAACAAAATACACAAGCTTGTTTATAAAAATGTAGGTTATGTTTCTTCACAGAACATAAGTAGGTAGTTCATTTGACCTTTATCCCATAGACTTTAAGGACTTAGAGCCGGTTTTACAATCGTTAGATTAAGTTAGCTTATTTGGCGGATAACTTTCATAGAAACCTTCTATCTAAGAAAATTATCCACCAGAGAGCTTATCTAACGATTGTAAAACCCAAAGATAAAGAAGGTAAAAACGACCTTTAAACATCTATGGTTCACCCTCAACTCGATGCGCCATCTGGTGGGTGTCTCATTAGAGAGGTCACTTTTCCTATTGAAATTGGGCGAAGTTGCAAGACCTGTATATAAGACCGTGGTAGTAAGTAATATTCGTTTTTTTTAACATACAACCTTGTTATATTAGGGTGACGACTTGTTGACATTTAAATCCTGTGTTTGTTATATTATTAACATAACGAATTCTAAAACTCTAAAAGATCGATGAGGTTGTATAAATGATAAAGAAATTCAGGCAAATTTGAATAAAATAGGTTTACCAAGTCTTTTTATATTTTAAAGAACAACATTTTAATTTTAAACGTGAAACTAACGTCCTGTGGACTTGTGAAATCTGCAGCTCGGTTTCATTTCACAAATATCATTGATGAAAATCATTTCACTTGTTGATAGTATAATATTATGGGTGAAGATTATGGTAATGACTTTTTTACAATCTTATGATAATCTTATGAGTTTACCTGTATCATAATTTGTTGAGCTTTTACCTAAGAATAGAAAAAATCAAACTTTGAAGGTGATTTCATAAAAAAATCTCACGCACATAATGATTTTTTATTTATCAGATTTTTGACCCTTGTAAGGAGGGGTATAAGGGGTATAAGTACATTTTGTTTAGTTTTAAAATAATAATGTTTAAAGTAAAAAACACTTAATTAAGAGTCAAAATTGTTTGTTGTTTTATGACTTGGTTAGAATTCAGCTATATCCCTTGGATACCAAGTAAAATGTAGCATTTCTTTTTCTGTGCATAACTACATTTTTTTTTAAATGTCACTGGTATCCCTTGGCTTCTAGGGTCCTCATATAGGGTAGGGGAGAAGTCAATTATTCAAGATAATGTCATTGGAGAGGATAAATCTCAGTGGTAGGTTGTCCTTGTTGCGGCTGGTGTCGTGCAAGTCTTGCATAACTTTGATCGCACGCTCACAGCACTGGTTGCTTCGGGCAATGTTGATTGGAGATTCATCTGTTTTCAAGTGGGTTTTCAAGCATTTCGGACCTTTTGGGTAGTCATTTAGAGCTGTAGGTAGTTCATCAAAATCTTTAGCTCGTAACAATTGACTGCTGAACCAATGCTCAGCCCATGGGTAGGAAATAAATGAACAGATTTTTCGCAGCTTGTTCCGGGTCTCAGGCATCAAAATTAACGCAAGAAGGGCAAGAATGGTACGAAAGTTCCAGCAGGCATTGTTGATGTTCGAGATCTGTTAAAACTTTACGAAGGGAAACTCATTCGTCTCAGTGAAGTAACGGAAGACACGAATGAGGTGGTAGAGAAACTTTCTGTCGTCTCTCCAGCCTTCTGTTTCCATAATCTTAGTTTCACCGTTATTTTACTTGCTCATCAAATCCTGCACAAAGAAGTACTCGATGTTTGGTGATATAGTTGATCCATGGAGCTCATCGTCCATGAAAACGCGAAGAACTCGATCCAGCACATGGTGCTGGCAACTAATGAACTTGGGTTTGGGGTAACCTTTCTCTTTGAACATTTTCTTCAGCCGAACAACAACGCCTGTCCTTTTGCCGGTATTCACGCTTGTTGTGTCCCGTTGATCCCCACGGGTTGAACTCCTCTAACACATCCTGGAGTCCTTTTACGATTGTTTGAGCAGCCAATTTAATTTATTTTGCTTCATTCTTGAGGAACACCGCTTGATATTCAATGCCCTCAATGCGTTTACCATCAAAGTGTACTCCACTTCTTCAGATGAAGCGAGCTCACCATGTGATTTTTTACCTGGGTAGCTTTCGTGTAGATAGCCTTGCTGAATTTCTAACTGACTTGGGGTTGGGATTTCAATGCTTTCTCCAGAAAGCTGGCGGCATACCTTTGCTGCCCCGGGACGACAGATTTGAGCTTGTAACTAGGCGTCTTGCAATGCCAGTTCGGTTATGCTTTCTTGTGCTTGTTGATTCTGCATTTTCATCCTTCCAAGGACTGTCTTTGCTGTTGTCGGATGAGTCCGTGTTACTTTCGGAACAATCAGGTGGCTTTGAGATGGTAAGTGTGGACACAGTCGCTTCCATTGTCTTCCTTAGCTTTGATGGGTGGATGGTCTTGAGACTAGCAGGTAGGCCAGTGGAATAACTAACCTGGCCCTTGCTCTTAATTTGCAGTTTTCCCATCCTCTTTGCACATCCATTCGCCTTTCACGTTGGTCACGTCAAACAGTTCGTTCAATGAATCAAAGTTTTGTTTTCATCTGCATCGCTCAGTCTTTTAGAATGTTTGCCAGTTTTGCACAAATAGCTTGATCAGATATACGCGGAAAGTTCAATTTTTTGCTCCATATGGCTTTCAGCTCCATATCAATTAGACCAATTCTCTAAAGCGTTCCATGACGTGATTTGCGACTCGTTTCACTCAAGGATGCTTCGTAAATTGCCACTTTGCCTCTTCCTAAAGGTGGTTGAAGTTATTTGTGCAGGTTTTTTGTTCTTCTCCGTGTTAGAAAAGCTCTTCTTGAATGACATGTTGTCTAGTTAATCTGAAGATTAATCTGAACCAAATCGTATTGAGCAAATAGAAGTCGAATATAGATTCAAGATTTCGGTATTTATATTATATAGTATGCCTTAATTTTAGATATTTACCTGTTTTAATAAAACAATAATGTTTAGTATAATTACGCCCTTAATTGGTTAAAACTTTAGTTATAAATGTATACCCAATTAATTTAAATTATTAAAACTTTAGTTATAAATGTATACCTAATTAATTTAAATTATTTTAAGTAAACTTTTTATCTTAAAAATTAATTAAACTATTCCTTTAAAAACACTTAATGTTAATAACAAATATTGAAACAATTCATAATTAGAATAGAGAAAATAAAAATTTAATTTTAAGTTAATCAGAAATACTGAAAAATTTCGTTTGTGCGTGACCTTTTTCAATTCAGTGGAATAAACGTCATTTTTATATTAAAATGTTAAAGTTCATTCATGCGTGCTAGTGAAGATATAAGGGTGTTTCTACGTTAAGAGGTAATTTTTGTTTTGATTGGTGGCATGTCCAAATTTTTTAAAATTTAATCTAAAAATAGCATTCTTTATTTTATGAATCAACGTTTATTGTAATTTAATATTTATAAACTATTAATAATAAATTGTTAATTATTTCGACCTTTACCTACTTGATGAAACTCCATATTATTAATATATGAATAAAAACAACACTTATTCTGAAGAAGCTACTGTGTAGCGAAACAATTGTTAATCATTAAAAATATAAATAAAATAGTAAAACTTTAAAACAGTGTTGTTTTTATTCATATATTAATAATATGGAGTTTCATGAAGTAAAGGTCGAAACAATCAACAATTTAAAACAAACAGTTACAAGTTTTTTGACCCTACGGTATTTTAAACTTTTATTGGAAGCAAAATTACCACACAAAACATTTGGTTTTACAACAAGTGCCAGAAAAATAATGTGATACCCAAGTACATCAAACTGAAGACACAGAACAGCAGCCCATCAGCTACAAAAGGACAAACTTATGGAATGAGAAAATGGCTTCAACTTGACAAGAAAGCACAGTACAAAAAACGAGATATCTACAACATATACGTCAAGGTGATACATTCTGAACTAACTTTTAGACTTAATAGAGTTGAATTTGACATCATTGATTACAATATCAGAGATAAAATTAACAATATTATTCACAAAAAATTTTAGACAAAGAAACAAAATTAATTCGTTATTAAAATCAAAACACACCCCAGTAGAAACAAACTATTCACAACACACTTTTTATGACAGATTTATTAATCTTACAGAAACTCAATTTAACAACAACGAAATTACATTACCTACTAGAAAAAGGCTTAAAACACATCAATACACACATAACCCCCAAAGATCTAGAAAACTTAGAAATAGAATTAGCTCTAAATAAGTTACAAACTGAAACAGACTCTTAAACGTTCCATTATCAGAAAAAGATTATAATTACAGATTAAACCTAATTAAACAAATAGCAGTTAAGAACGGCTATGATGCACAACTAATTAACAAAATCTTAAATCACAAAAAAAAACAAAAAATAGCTATCAACAACGTTTTTCCAAAATCTAAGATTACCATTAATACATATAATAGCTGTAAATATCTAGGTACTAATATGAGACATGTATCTAATTTCTTTAATAAAATCAATAGTAATGTAGCATTTAAAACTAACAACAATCTTAGTAAGCTTATCAAAAACAACAAAGATAAATCATCAAAACTTCAAAATCCGGCCTTTACCAACTAACCTGCAAAGACTGTCCGAAAACATATATAGGCCAAATCAGTAGAAATTTTAATACACGAATTAAATAACACAAGATATCCTATACGTATATGTATAAACCTTAAACAGGATTCTTCAAATGCTAACCATCTAATACAAGAGAACCACAAATTTGATGATAACTTTAAAATATTACATGTAGCCAATAAAGGTACTAAACTGAATCTTCTGGAGTCTTTGGAAATTAATAAACTAAATAAAAAATCTAATATTGTTCTTAATGACCAAATTGAAACTAACAGCTCGCATTTGCTAAATTTAATTTAGAATGTATACTTGTAGTCCTAAAAAATAATATTTATTAATATTATAAAATAATATTAGATTGGACTTTCCAAATCCTTAGTTTTTCCAAAATTGTGTAAGTTTTATTAATACCTTCAGGTATAATGTTTATACAACACCTATTTTCTCAAATTACCTGCCATTTGTTAATATAAATACCGCCACTTGATAAAAATATGTACTAATTCTGAAGAAGCTACTGTGTAGCGAAACAATTGTATGTATTGCTGAAATTTTAGTGACACCTAGGGGCCCCAAGGTTTTGGGCATTGCATTTCTAATTAGAGATTTTAAAAGTGAGGTACTTTGTAAAATAATTAAGCGAAACACGATGGTTAGCCTGATACGATGATGTTTAAGCTTTAAGAAGTTATTATATTTTGTTTCTAATATAATTTTTTTACATGAAGATAATGATCAAAGCGGTGATACACTTACCGAAGCCAAAAACAACCCCAAAATAACCATTAAAACATGATTTGACGTAAGTATTCAGATCTCCTGGACATTTTGTTTCTACTCTGGTGACTTATGAGGCAGGGGAGATATGGCATGGGAGATCCTTTTTCATGGGAAAACAGAAAATACTTAAAGTATCCACTCACTTAAAATGAATTAGTCAAAAATAACTAATTTTAAGTAAAATTGTCTTAGCAAAAAAAGCAGTCACTATAGTGATATATATATATATATATATTTTATTTATTTATTTATTTAACATCCAGATACACGTGTACAGAAAATAATTTCTGCCTATTGGAGGTAATAAAATTACCTGTACATAGGTCCGGTACATAACTTAAAAACTAGGATCTTAAAACTAAACTAAAACTAAAATAATATATAATATTTTCATTATCATTGCGAAAACAGTTTATAATTCCAACATTTAATACTATTAAGTTAACAATGAATTATTGGTACAGTTTTTGGAAATCCAGTCTTTTAACATTTGTTTAAACTTAAAAGTAAATTTGTTTTTTGGGATATTTACTACTTTGATGTTATTAGGTAACATGTTGAAGATTTTTATACCATTGTAGAGACTAGTTTTTTTACCAACAGCAAGCTTGACTTTTGGCAGTACAATACTTTTAAACCTAGTTGTTTTATTACTATTTTTGTACATAACGTACAAGTTATTAAAATTGATAAGTATGGTTTTTAAATAGTAATTTTGATAAATATTAAGGTGGTTGTTACAAAACTGATCATTTCCCAGAATTACCTTTAGTACCCTTTTCTGCAAGTTTAAAAGTGGCAAAAGAGCATTTTCATAAGCAGAGCCCCATGCGGCAATTCCATAAGTGGAAAGGCTATTAAATAGACCATAGTAAATTACCAACAGTGATTTTGTGTTTAAAATAGACTTTAATTTTGCAAAAACAAATAGGAGATACCTAAGACGCTTTGTAACCCATTCGATATGCTCCCGCCATCTTATTTGTGTATCAATAACTACTCCAAGGTATTTTGTACTTTTTACTCTTTTTATTAAATGGTTGTCGATTTTAATATTAACAGTGGCAGGATACATATCTATGTAATTAACAAAAGTTATAAACACTGTTTTATCTATATTTAGAGATAGCTGATTGTCTTTAAGCCATTTTGAAATTAAAGTTAAAAAGTGATTTATTTTTTCAGTTACTATTTTCCAGCTAGCATCAGTGCACAATAGAGCTGTATCGTATATATATATTATAATACTTAGTCAAATTCTATTTAACGAAAAAGTTAAATTAATATATTTAAATTTAAAAAAGTTCCAGGGTTTAAACTCGAATCTCTCGATTGTCTGGCGAGAATGTCTAATCGCTGCGCCATGCCACTTATAAATAAAATTTTCATATTTGTCCATAAATATTTTTAATTATATTTAAAAGTTAAAAATCTTTTTTTTACCATAATAAAAAGTAACTATTTTAAAGTGATAATGACTATTTCAATTTTGGAGAGTTTTGTAAATAAATAACAGAAAAGCATAATAAACTACACACAATTTACAGTTAACATACAAATATTAATTGTTTAGATAAATAATTACAAAATAAAACTTAACATGGGAAAGACCATGTAGGTACACTTAGAAAGCATCCACAACTACTGACTGGCGAAATGACAGTTATTTAGAGTCAATACTAGAGAAAATAATTAAATATTTCCAGAAAGTCAACTAAACCCCTTTTTTAATTATGAACTATATTCTGGATAATGACTTTCTAATCCACAACCTAATTTTATTTATTAAATTACAATTATTATTAATGTTAGTTTATAAAATTTACGAAATTGATTAATATTATTGGAATTCGATATATATAATCCGAAGTTACTGATTTACTATCATAACAGTAAAAGGACAGACCAAGTAAATTTAACTGATGGAATTCACTTTCGCTGTGAATTATGAAATTCTAATAATATTTTTAAAATTTTTAAATAAAAAGTATTTTTTTGTCGTGGCCGCCGAAATTACCTCTTAACGTAGAATCGCCCATAAAAGCTCCAAAGGGTACATAAGCTCGAACGCCACTTTGTAAGGCAAAATTAAATTTTTTGAAAGAACATTTATTCGCTCAAGAGCCTTGAGTCAAGGCTAATAAAGTTTAAAACAATGTATACGATAACACTAACAAACCTTGTAATGGATTTTAGTTTTGATAAAAAATTGCAATTTATTTTACCAAACATAGAATACTATTTTATATCTTTGCATTATACTATACAGTGTATTGTATGTATATATAGTAGGTTGTCAAAAAATTTACCAGGTGGTAGAACTTTTCAAAATAATTTTAAAAATGTATACTTAGTGCGAAGAAAACCTAGAGCTTTATATTTATAGGTTTATGGTAAATACAGGACCAATTGTACTCAATTCTTGGATTTAAGGAAAAACGTTCACATAAACTAAGGTCCGCAACCGCTTAATTTGGTAGATATAGGGTTTTTAAATTGAAAAAAAAGTTATTTACATTACCAAATGCAAAAGTTTACTTTTAGGTGCAAGGTGTTTTTGAATGGCCGAGGCGAATCGCGGTTAGCCGAGTCTATTCAAAAACTGCGAGCACCTGAAAGGGCTTTCGCAGCATAACTTTTTATTTTCCCTTGAAAAGAAATTTGTGAAAAACCATTCAGTAATAATTATAACTAATAAAATTATTATAAGGTTGCTGTCATACATAGGTTTTTTATGTTGACATTATTATCCGGGTAACAATATCTATGGTAACAATACTGCTTTGTTTGAAAACAATATTTCATGACATTGACACTATAATAAATTTCGAATATTTTAAATTTTGGATCAAAATTATTTCAATTGAAGAAGCCTTAAATATTGCATGCAGACGTTTGTTGCCAGACAAATTCAAACACCTCTTATTAGCTAACGGCTAACCGACTAATTAGGTGAGCTAAGCTAGATTAGCTAAGCTAATTTAGTTAACCGGTTAAATTAACTAAGGAGCCATTCCACGCGTGACGGATGGGATAGTTGTCGTGTTTTTATTTACAAAATAATGTTGTTCTATTGTATTGCCAATGTCAAATTTTTATAAATGGTTCTAAACTGGAGCTGTTTAACAAGGTTTTTATTTGGCAAAATTGGGTATCGTGATTGACTGTCCAATTCCTTAAAAACTAATAATTTAAAGCGTAACGGTCGGGACTTTGCAATAGTCCCGACCGTTACGCTTTAAATTATTAATTTTTAAGGAATTGGACAGTCAATCACGATACCTAATTTTGCCAAAATAAAAACCTTGTTAAACAGCTTTTGTTTAGAGCTATTTATAAAAATTTGACATTGGTAATATGGTGGAACAATATTATTTTGTAAATAAAAACACGGCGGCTGTCCTATCCGTTAAGCGTGGAATGGCCCTAAGCTGATCAGTTAGCTAGCTAATTAACTTAGCTAACTTTTTTAGCCGGCTTAACCGGCTAAAATGTACAGCCCTAGTCCGGACGCTCCTCAAATATTAATTAAAATAATATGTTTACTTTTTTGTTTAGGGCATGACATTTTTTCATACCTAGCAACCCCCTTTTTATTCTCCTATTAAGAGGGGATAATAAAAGAAATCGTTTTTTACTTTGCCACATCTATGCAAGGTTATAAACGAAATTTAAATCAATTTTACTAGAAAACTGTGCTTTTAATCGAGTTAATTGGGTAAAATGGACCACAGTCCAAAGCCAAAAAAATCAAGTTAAGACAAGACGACCTTTTTTACGTAATAAACCTTATCATTTAATAATGTTGGTTAAAGTAAAGATTACACAAAAAATTCGGGTTACATTTTTCCAACTCCCATCCTGTTTGGGACGACTCTGGTCAAAATTTCAACTTGATTTTATTTACATGTTTCAGCTCGCATGCTCAAAGTGCGCAAAGTTGCATTTTTTGCACGCTTACTTTGCGCACGCAAATGCGTTAATATAGGAATAAGATTATTAAAATTTTGAAGCCTTTAATAGTATTTTTAATTAAAAACAAAAAAATATAGCTAAAATAATTCAATTTAAAAATATATGTAGCAACTTTCCGCACGCTTATAGAATAAATGTTAAAGTTAAAAATAGAAACTGATTAAGAAAATTTTTGTGATTTCCTTGCTTGCAGAAAAAATATTGTTTCTAACACATGTGCAAAGTAATTTTTCCGCACTTACGCTTGCCTGAACTCCGGTTAGCGTCGTTTGTGCATTTGCGGTAGCGTGCGAAAAAAATAAACTTTGCGCACTTGTTCGGAAAATACCTATTTCAGGGACATAATTTGAAGGGACTCTAGATCACTAAGGAGTCGCACTTTATTTGTATACAATTTTTATTATTTCAAGAAGTTTTTTCACCTGGTAAATTTTTCGGAAACCTGTAAAAATACAAAACTTAATAAAATGAAATAATTTTTAGTTTGATTTTAAGAGAATAATTTTATGTTTACATGTTTTATAAGAACAAAATATGGAGCATTTCATGCACTTTACTGAAAGAAAAATGCTGGTATTTTATATTAGGAATACCTACTAAGTATTCCATATTTGGTCACTTTTCCTTAGTATTTAAAAAAAATATTTTTCTATAATTTAATATCCTACTATACTGTCCTACAACACTAAAATGAAAGTAAATTATATTATTATAAAAAAATCTAAAGTTAAGCAAAACTTGTTCATCACTAGTAATGACTTTGACCTTCTTGGAGGGTATGAATAACTGTGGATAAAGAACACAGACTACCGTTACGGTTAAAAATACTGCAAAAGTAAATGATATCATAATGATAAAAAATCTAAAGTTAAGATAAGTTAAAATGCAGTATACATTTAGTATAAGTAATAAAGGACAAAAGTTAATTTTTATTGTTTTTAACAATTAAAATGATATTTTGTTCTTTATTTTTAATAATAATATTAATATTTTATTTAATCCAAGAGTTCTTTTACAGATATAGGATAGGTCATACAAAATTGGATATACTGCAATTCAGCGTTGTAGGGCAGTATACTGCTATAGAACCGTGATTGGTTGCTAAATAAACTGTTTTAAAATGCAAGTAATAAAATACCAAGATCAAAATATTTTAATACGTTTAAATATTTAAATACGTTTTTCTACTCCTAATACGGAATTTGACCCTTCTAATATCACTTTTATCTATGGAATGACATATATTCCGTAAAGTGTTACAGAATGAAATATTCTATCATCTGATGACAGAATAAACACTCATGGCGACATCTTTGTTTTTAATATCTAACAAATTTTAGACCGATCCAACCTTACTTTCTTCCAATTAAATTATTTTTCTATGGTATTACTACGTAGAAAAAGTATAGTCTGAAACACGTTTGGAATTGCATATTCTGCTCTCGTAAAACCGTCAAACTCGCCTTCGGCTCGTGTGACAAACTCTTCACTCGAGCGGAATATGCTGTATTCCAAACTTGTTACAGAATATACTATTAAATCGCACTTTATATCGTATTTCTATTGTATCTTTTTACCGTAGGCAATGGAAATAAAAGGGATACTTGATGTAATTGATACAGAACCACCATCTCTTTTATTAGTCACATACGAAGGCAACTTGACCGTAAATAATGGCAACGAACTGACTCCCACCCAGGTCAAAAATGAACCAAACGTAACTTGGGAAGCAAAACCTGATAAGTATTATCTATTGATCATGGTCGATCCAGACCCGCCTGCACCGTTTCCATTGGTCAACCATTGGATGATTGGTAATATTCCTGGAAATGATTACCACTCTTCCATGGCCGATGTAATCGTAGAATATAGAGGATCGGGACCTCCAAAAGGAACCGGAATACACAGGTAAATACAAAAGAAAAAAAAGTATTAAGTAAACAGCTACATAACCAAATCTTTGATCACATTATTGGTGTAAGCCATTAGCAAATTAAAACTATTCCAATAGGTTTACTAATGTAAAATAAGAAATAACACAAAACATGCCTTAGATTAGGTTAATAGATCTTAACTTTCATTGTTTTTAAGTGTGTGACGTTTGGATTAGTAATATCTCCAATCGTTGATGAAAATGAATTAAATAAAATTAATAATGAAAAGGATTTGGCTTGTGCTTTTTATTTAGCGTTCAGTGTTCAAGAGCATAAGCTGAAGCCATTTTATTATTATTTGTTTAAAAACGATTAAATTTAATACTAATATAAACGTCGTATGCACATTAATCATTTAAAGACGTCTTTAAATGATTAATGTGCATACGACGTTTATATTACTATTGCAAAAATCAATGCCCAAAAATGCTAAAAATTTAAAAAAAAATTGTAAAAAAATTCTAAAAAAGTTAAAAAAAAAATTAAACAAATTGTTAAAAAATTCCGAAAAAAATTGTAAGGGGGTATTTTTTCCTGTAGGTTTATTTTCCTAGAGGTATATTTTCCTGGGTTTTTTTTTTCGGGGGTTTTTTTTCCGTGGTTTTTTTTTCCAGGGGCTTTTTTTCCGTTTACCGGTACAAGTAATATAGTATAATAAGTAAGAGGTGAAAAAGAAATATTACCTAATTATAATTTTTGCATCTTCTATAGTACATTTACCATTTACATAAACTCCTTATATAGTGTGGGATAAGGGCAGTGTTGTAAAATAATCATAAATTGTTTATTTGAGTCTTGAAAAAGAACTTGATAATTTGATAAAAAACTCCTGTTAAAGCATAGTTAGGATTTGTTATGCATTTATTTTAAACAACTATAAAATATTTGAAAAATGGGTACGGTATTGAATAGGGTTGCCACCTCCTTGGAATTGGCCCAAAGTTTTAAGTTAATTTCTACGGGCTGGCGAATAATACCTCTTTACAGCATTTTATTTTTCAGTAAAACGCGAAAATGCAGGAAAATACTCTCTAGTCAGTTTATTATAGTTTTTAAATTCAGACCGATGTGATTTATTATTATGAGAAAAGCGATAGAATATTTAAAATAAAATCGGACCCAACCCAACCAAACCACTATCTTAAAAGAAACCATCTGGCCCATCCATCTCAACTGTTAAAAATAATGGGGTAGATTATGCCTTTAATAAAAGCCTTATTTAAATACAATCCGTTTATTCCAAAAAAATTATAAAATCGTAAGCGATTACTCAACTTATTATAACATGTTTGATTTAATATATTTTTGTATACGCCTTCTTTACATTTTATTTATTTATTTATTTTCCTCCTTAAGCTTCATCCTTGTATAAAAATAATTTAATATACCACGATATATAACGGTCTCTACGAATATGCACCCCTACCCCCCCACTCTATAAAAATATCCGATACAACCCATAGTATCGATTCGCGTCTTTAGTTGCTATAAAAGAATATTACCTAAACTTAATAAGTGCATTTACTTAACCCTTAGTTAGGCGCGCGGGGTTCCCACGATCCCAGCATATTTGTGTTTAACTGTATCTTGCTTATAAAAACCCTTATAAGTCTTATGCATTTCAGTATTTCTTTAAAAGTTTGACAGTTTTGTTTTACAGTTATCAGCGTTTTTCAGTTTTTTGTATTTCTTTAAAAAAATTATATGCTCATTTGCAACCTACGCGACCAGTAGTGCAACTTGGACTTGCTATGGTAATTTCTTTAATGTTTGTAGTTTCTGTTGTTATAGTGGAACACGTCAATAAAATATTACATTATAACCTTAAAAAATTTAATTCACACTTATTTCATATAAATAAACACAATAATTATAACAATGATTGTTATAATAGGCCATCCTCGAGAAATAAACTGAAACGTCAAATGTTTCGATACAATGGGCTCAAAATCTCGCAACTGAGCATAATATGTCAGAAAAAAATATATAATCTTTTCCAAGACCCAAAAAACGAAAACTGGATGAGTTTACATAAACAGAAAGACCAGAGCCGCCAATTCTAAACGCAACTCAAAATTTTTGTAAAAAAAAATGGGACAAAAAATATATAAAAAGTTGTAACAGTTTTGCAAAACTCATTTGCGATCTTTACTCTAGCTTTTTTTTCTATCGAATGTGGTAAATAAATACTTAGTTAAATATTTATTGAAATATATTTCAATAAAAGTAATATGTATCTATATTAAATCATCATATTTTGCAATAGTATTCCAAAAGGTCCAACCAAAGTATTTCTGCACAGGAATTTCCTGTCAGAAAATGTTAAAAAAAATACAAACTAATAAAAAAAATTAGCATGGGATCAAAATCACCCCACGCGCCTAATTGTGGGAGCCGAATTGGTCTAAGGGCTAAGGGTTAATTTAAAGTAGGTAAACATATTTAATATAATAACGGTAAAATATGTACCTATATCCTTAACAAAATACAACGTATAAAAGCGCGTATAGACTTTAAAAGAAAAACAACAGGAGTCCAATCATTTTTTAACCGTACTAGGAAGTGCAACGGAAGTCGCCATTTGCAAACTTGTTTAGTAAATGCTCCTTCCTGTTGTTTTTTCTTCTAAGGTTTAGACAAAGAAAATAATACCGTAACGTAACGGTTTGGATTCCTGTCCGCAACACCGCAACAGCCTAACATTGTAACATCGCAGCCTCCCATCAGTTGTCGGTATTTAGTTGTCACGTCAAAGGGATGTTACACACTGCTGTTGCAGGACATTTTTACCGCATTTTATGAAGTAAAAAAAAACTGAAAAATTCTGGGAAAATCCTGTTATAACGTTTTAATTTAATCTTTTTTTAATTTAAAAGAAGCATTTTTTATTTATGAATACAAGCTTAATTTTTACTTGGGCCGTTCATAACTTTTAAATCCAATTTTTCCGAAAAAATACATTTTTTCCGCACCTTGGAGAAACAAAACCAAAAAAGAGCCACAAATGGCTAGGCACTAAAACATTTTTTTTACTTTTTCCAACAGAGAGCGCTGCAATAATATGTTAAGTAAAATAAAAAAAAAATATTACGATAATAATTAACAAAAGCTGTAATGTTTCTGTAGAATAATATAATGTATGAATTTTATTATAATCTGTTATATAATACCTATTACCAAATTATAAATAATTATAAATTAAATTTTTAAACATAAATTACTGTCAGATATCAGTGGCGGCTCTACCCACTGAACTATACAACCACAGTATAGTTCAGTGCCTCTACCTAAGGTTTGCAGGTTTGCACAACCACAAAAAAAACACCCAAAAAGAAAGAAATAAAACATGATTATATATAATACTATATACACTATAGTAATATCATCGAAACATATTTTTTTAATTTTCTTAATATAAAATAAGATAAGATAATTTATTAGTAATAACATAGTATTTTAACAGGCCAAATAAAATAAATATAAAAAAGTAACAAAACATTACGGATTAAAAATCGATTTGAAGTACTCTTCATATGAGAATAAGGTATTTAGAATAGAGTAGTTCTTGATTTGTTTTTGTATTGATTGAAGTTTAGAGCTTTAATTCTAGCTGGTACACAGTTATAGAAATGTATTGCTAAATATCTTGAACCATCTCTGGATCTCTCAAGCCGGCAAAAGTCTAATACAAGATTGTTTTTGTTTCTAGTAGGATAGTAGTACCTCTATGAGATCTGCATTGATCAAGATTTTGTGTAATGTGCAACAAACACTGCATAATGTAAGCACAAGGTAAAGTTAAAATGTTTAGATCTTTAAAGTAATTTCGACAGTCCTCTCTATAGCCAAGCTTAGAGATAATGCGTATGCATTTTCTTTGTTGCCCAAATGCCTTGTTAATGTGATAAGTGTGACCCCAGGAAAGAATGACAAAAGTTAAATGAGAATGAAAGTTGCTGAGGTATGCTGTTGGGAGAGTTTTTTTGGAAGTAACCTCTATAAGATTCCTAAACAGGAAAAGTTGATGGGATAGTTTTTTTAAAAGATTGGCAAGGTGTTGCTCCCAGGTTAATCCTGCATATAACTTATATGATATAAGTGAACTTTAAGAAACTTGGCTTCTATTGCACTTTAAGGTAGAAATATGTGTTTAACATAACTGTTCTTCCTAAGAATAAAGTTAATACTTTGTGATTTAGAGTTATTTAAGGATAGACGATTAGCTAGAAACCATTGAAATAATTTATTTTCTAAAGTTTGGTAATCATGTTTGTCAATTTCTGAAGGGTAATATCTTATGTAAAATTTTGTATAGATAGCAAATAAGACAGTATTGACTCCTTCACCCTGAGAGTACGCCAGGTCATTGATATAAATGAGGAATAAGGTGGCGCTTAATACCGACCCTTGACGTACACCATACTTCAAGGATTGCTTTTTTGAATAACATTGGATAAAATTAACATATTGATTATGATCTTAGTACCTTCATTGTCATAACTTACTATATACGTATAGTTTCCAAGCAAATAATTTTATTTTCCACTCGGCCCTATCGTATCAGTTCTTTGACTGTCACCTAGCTGCCATCTAGTGTATAATCGTTGAAGCTCCCAGGTTTGCGCCAAGGTCGAAAACCATTACAGGCTTTTGCATTGGCGTGTTGGGACCACATAATTAAATTCCGCGCAATATTATTGGTTGCATTTGATCGAAAGTAGTTGCAGGGTAAATGCTACCCCACTGACAGAAATAGGTTTCTGCAAAAAGTTATATTTAACTATGTGTAGATGTCGCTGCAGGCTATGTGTTTTCTTGACAGAGATTTTAGTCAAAATTTGTATTAAAATCGATTAAAATATAAATTTAAGTAATTTCAGTTTTATAAAATTCTACATATTATTTGTTGGAATGAATGGATATGTGTAAATGGTTATTAAAAATGGATAAATAAGGATAACATATAACGCGCTTTAAGAAAACAATCCTTATGTCCAAAATCTTTAAAATATCACAAAATGTACTAACCAAATCGTTTTGGTGATCTCATTATTAATTTTGCAAATATATACAGAGTGTTCTTGGTGTAACTTTATGAACTGCTTGGTGTGTAAAATGAAAAAAGTTGTATCTTCATAAACCTTTTTTCCTACATCATGCTACTAAAGTAGCCGTTGTCTTCATAAATTATTTTTGATGATTATTTTGCTAACATAATATGTATGAGTATATTTTTTTGCGTAGGCGATCAACCCTTACATGTTTGGCGCCCCCTATAACGGCACCCGCGGGTTCCCGGTGCGATCTCACGCTTTGGGCGCACCAAGGTCGCTTTTTATTATATAAGACCTATAATATGGGTCCCATTGTTTTTTCTACACCAACATTCAAATTCCTTAGATTATTCTCAAATAAAAATTCAGTTAACCCTTACACTCCTGAGAAATTAAAATTCAAATTTTAAAGCAAAATTAAAGTTTTCTCGACAAAATTGCTTTAATATGAAAACCAAAAAAAAAAATTTTTTTTGAAGAGTCAAAGAATTAACCTTTCCTGAAGACACTTTAAGCATTCTACATTAAATAAAGCCATTTTTGTAATAAAAAGACAATGACTTACTATTAGACGCAATGATGTAAAGAACTAGCGCGCTTAAATTGCCATCCAAAACAAAAACAGGGCAGAAATTGGTGAGCGCATGCTCTTGTTTGCGTAGTAAACACATATCACAATTGTACGATTGAGGAGTGGGAGCTCCACTGTCTCATTTTAACCCATAAAGTATATGTACATAAGGAAGTCACAATTGTAGCCACATGGAGCGTAAGGGTTAAAATACCAGCTTTAAATTTTAATTTTAAGTGGTTCCCAATCGAGATCTAAAAAACGCATGGTTTATAAAAGAAATAAAGTATTTTACCAAGTGAAATATTAGCGATAAAAATTTGAGTTTGTAAAACACCCTAGTAAAATTTTATCCCATACTGGAAAAAAATATTGCATCGAAAAAAAATGTGAAAATAAATAATAATTATAAGTTTAGTCTGGAAAGAAAATGTTTCAGTTTTTTACTATCTTTACTATTGCCTCTTTTTATATAAACTCCTAACTTTTAAGTAATGTACTAATTTAAGTTTCTTTTTAGATATATTTTTTTAGTGTACGAACAAAGTGGAAAACTATCATTTGAAAATGAAAAAAGAAGCACGAAATTGTCGAGAGAAAATAGAGTTAAATTTTCCTTGAAAGACTTAGTTCAAAGACATAAATTGGGAGATCCAATATCTGGAAATTATTACCGAGCGCAATGGGATTCGTTTGTGGATGAAAGACAAAAACTTTTAACTGGAGAATTAAAATGATTTTTTGTGTATTATATAGGTGCCTATCTGCAATTATAATCGTTTACATTTAATACCTACCTATTTATAAAAACCGTTAAAATAATGTTCAAATATATAAAAACTTAAACAATTTTTGTTTTAGTTAATTTTTATTACAATAATTATTATTATTATTAAAAAAGTAACATTATTTAGGCAGGGTTAAACTATTGTTATACAACATTGTTTTTATACTGTAAACAAATAAAACTGTAATATTACATTATAGACCAGGCGGAGAAAGTACATATTATCGCCAAGCATACATTTCCCCGCACTTTTTAATAAATATAACAAAAAAGTAGTTTGTATTAATAAAGTAAAGATCCCTATTCGTCCAACAATTGCTTTTGTTACGGCAAAAAGATCATTTTTATAAAAATTATTTATCTACAAACGCTGCTTTTGGTAATATCATTTGCATTAATTATAAAGTAAATTTACGTTATGTTTATAAAAATAACACTCTTCCAGATGCAGAAACGCATTGATAAATATAGTTATTATTATTTGGCCAAAAAACCAGTTCTATACCGTTTACAAAAACGTTTTGTAGTATTAATGAAACCATAATGGTATTATTCAAGAAAATTTTGTAAATTTTACAAATCCCTTTTCGTTTAAAATAAAACTTTTTTTAAAATATTAATAGAATTTATGTAAATTTAACAACAAATGAATTGTTAATTCAATAAACAATTTTCATTGTAACAATGGTCACATTTTCAACCTACTGTAGGACGTCCAAAATACGCCTAATAAGGCTAAGCCGGACCAGGTCTAGAGTTGACGTTCTATGGATGTCCCAGACCCGTTCGGAATGGCTAAGCTGAGAATAACCTAAATAGGATGTCTCTTTTCACACAGCACAGGTCATTTGCAACTTATAAACTGAACTGTCAAATTATATTTCATGCTTTCATAGAGAAAAGTCTATGATGCCTACTATGATCAAAATTAGTAAAGTAGAAAAAAAAATAAAATTTATAAATAAAATAATTTTAGCTCCATCTATAACGATTTTTTAAATAAATATGTAAGAATTGTATGTTATATATAATATATTATATGTAATATACAATACATCATCTTATAAAACTAGATAAAAGAATATATACTTTGTTAGTATTATGCCCTTTGAAGGCCTAACTTAGAAATGGTGTCTCTCGTAGAAACATAATTTGCATGTAGAAGTTTATATATCAAATAATAGTTAATTATCATTAACGTGATATACTCAAAATTATAAAACAACGTTGCTTCTTCAACTTTTTAACCCTTAAAAAATGGAAAAATGTTAAATTAAATTGTCCCCAGCGCCCCCTGTATGTTAAAATCTAAAAAAAAAATTATACGTAAATAAGGTCTACATTTTTTCTTAATTTCAAATCGATACGTTTTTAAATAAAAAGGTTATTACAAATTATCGAAATTTTTCTATTTTTAACACAGTAGAGTGACTAAAAACCACAGCGGTCAATGGATGAAATTTTTTTTTTTGAAAAAAATGCACCAATTAGATGTAGGATCAAGGTTAAAAAAATATATCCAATTCTGGCATCACTTGCAAACCAATGTCCAAAATTTGTTCGATTTTTACGCGAAACCATGCATAGTTATTTGCTTATAGCCTAAAAACAATTTAGAAATGATGATACTTTTTTGAAGAGGGTGACATTTCCTACAAAAATGTTACATGTCTATTAATAAGCAAGTTATGAAGTTTTTAAATGTAAAATAAATTAAAATGAAAATTCTATACCAGTACTAAAAGTGGGTTTTTTTGACACCATGACAACACATGTATTTTTGTGGATTTTTTTGCTTGGGTAGGTAACCAACAGCGAATTAAATCGGAATTTTTTTGTCATAATTACAGAATAACTTTTTTCTACTCCTATTACGGAATATGACCGTTCTAATATGCCTTTTTAATTTAATATTCCTTAAAGTGTTACAGAATGAATTACCCAGATAGCACAAAGAAGTACTGGAAACGTCCTGAGTATATCTTGTATCAGACATTAGTAAGTCCCGAGTACGTCTGAGTCAGGTCCTGAACCTTCCCCAACACTTACCAGGGACATCCGATGTTACCAAATCGTCGGTCCCCAGAACGAAGTAAGACATCCTCTGGCCGTACTGAAATACTTTATTGGGGATTATTGGACAAGCTCTACAGAATTGAAGAGTGGTATTCCCAAAGGGTCAAAGTGACAAAAATAAAATTGTGAGTTATCAATGAAAAACAAATATTTTGAACATATAAATGTTGGAATATTTTTTAAGTCATTCTGCATGACACAAACTATTTTTAAATGATAATATATTATTTAGCCAACTTGACACTTAGACCCTTTGGAAATACCATGCTTTAATTTCTTAAAAAAACAAAATATACGTCCTTGGGACGTACCGAGTAAATCAGCTTTAATTTTCCCAAATAAGTAAGAGACTGGACGTACCCAAAACTTCCGATGTAGGTCTGGGACGTTCGGACTATGTGGAACCCGAAGTGGACGTCCTGGGTACATCTTGTGCTATCTGGGTATTCTATCATCGGATGACGGAATAAACACTAGTGGCGATATCTCTGTGTTTAATATCTATAACAACATGTAGACAGACTTCTTACAAAATATATTATTTTTAACAATACATGTTTTAATTTCTTTATTTAATTTTAATACATTTCCATCAAATGAAATCATTTTTTTTGTTAATTGGTGTATTCCTTCGGACTTACCTTGTATATATATATATATATATACAAGGTAAGTATAAGTATATATATCAAGCACCATTTATTAGTTTATGCTTATATAAAATAAGAGATTTTAATTTTATTTAAATAAAAAAAAATAATGAAGCACTAATATATTATATTATTAGTTTTGGAATTAAAGAATTAAAATTTTAAATAATAGGTACATTAATAATAATAATTAAGGATTTATGTCTTTTTATAATTATTTAGTATTTACAGCACATTTTGTTGTTTTTTAAAATGCTTTATTAAAATTTGAAATCCCACATTTTAAGAACAAAAACAATAAAAATAAATACCTACTTTTACTAAAGCTTTATTGTGGGAAATATTTAATAAATATTAATGCCACGTTTATAGCTTTCATTTAAAATAATTTCCAATTTAACTTTAACATGGTGCGTTTAAAATTAGGAAAATAAATTAGAAAACTCAATTTCGCGTGGCTTTTAGTTGAGCATTAAATTAAATCCTATACGACAAAACTAAATCTGCTAGATATGCAATGAAAATAAATTCAACCTATCTAAAACGAAATTGCAGATTTGAGTCCATTTTTTATTTAATTTTTTCCTCGTGAATTTTTATATTTAAGTGAATGAATGAAGTAACAAAAGAACCGGGCAATGTATTTGCTCACTGATCCGAAGTTTCCTTTGTATCAAACAGATCGCGATTCATTTTCTTAATGGATAAAAAGAGATTGTAAAAAGTTTTTTGCTGAGTAATTATCCTTTTTGTAAATTATTTAGTTTATTTAAATGGATAAAATGATTTCTATTAGTAAAGAAGGTTCTACATCTTAACACCCGCCTACTGTAGCTTAGTTAGGATTTTGATATTTTTAAGGCTTTACCTATAGAAAAATATTTTACATTTAACATGTGTTCCTCACGGTTAATTTTATAGACGATTTCAGAAAAAATATATATAATCTTCGAAACTATTGTTTTCGGGTTTATCCGACTTCCAAGTAACAGGAAACATGAGAAATAAAATCCTATGTATATGTATGGCATTCAATATAGTGGCCCAAAAATATGTCAAAATTTTTAAATTTTTTGTAAAAACTAAAAATTTTAAATTTAAAAAAAACTTTCTTTAAGGATAATAAAGCGTTTAATTTTAAGTAAAAAACGTCTTATAAGGTCTTCTGTAGACGCTATAGTTTTGTTATAAAAAATTTCTGATTTTTTTTACTTCACAAAATAATACATATTAATCAAATTCAATTAACTTAATAGGTTTTAATGTCTAAATAAATACATATAATTATATGTGCTGGCTATTATAATAACAAATACTCCTTAACAGTTTTTCTTTAAAAGATTGCAAATTCCTTGAATTTAAATTAAAATTTTTTGAAAACGTTAAAATAGTGATGCACTTGTTCAGAAAAAAGGCAAGTGCTCGTTGATATTTTTCAATGAACTCTGGAACATGATGAACTAGGGCATGCATTTTTGTTGTGTACCGTACTCCGACTTTAGATAGTTCTACTGCGAAACGTTGAATATTTTCGGCATAACTTATACTTAGAGTTTGCCCAAAGCAACTGGAAACTACTTCGTCAAAATACTTAAACAAATTAAGGTATTTGTTTCCTAAAACCATATGTATAAACTTTAATACATTAAAGACTAATATCGCACATGGGCGACAACAGTGTCATACGTTTTTCATTATTTTACTGTTAAATACGAATATGACGAACGTGGCCCCATCGCCAACGCCTTATACTGATTTCCCAGGGTTATTTTACCCCCTTTTAGTTCTCCCACGTATCCCGCCACTGCACAGCATTGCCTGTGTTTGGTGGATCCGAATTTTTACCCCGGCTGGTAAATCTCGCCTAGAAGGCCGTAAATGACAGTGTCGATGGTTAAGGCCTCTTAAAGAATTTTCTCGCCTAGTCCGCTAGTGGAGTGCGGAAAAGGAGGGAAAATATTTTGGTTTTTTGAGGGACATTGAACTGACCCAAAACCAAGTACAATCCAGGTAATACTGAGACCATCCATCCTGGATTAAAGGAATGGCTCTGGAAACATCAGTCGAAGACATATCCATTTTTAAAAGTAAGAAAACACCTCAAAAGTAACACATTAATTTACAAAAAAATGTCCAAGTATGGGATGATTCAACAAAACAATCACTGTCATCGTCCATAGGCTATGGGTGGACCATAGCAACCTTAGTTCTTCGTACAAAAAAATATTGGAAAATGCAATGTTTTTTTTTTTAAATCTACATTTTTCACAAAAATAAATATATCGGAGTGAACCAAAAACAAAACTGTTAAGAATAGTTGTGACTTGAT